GGTACCAGGTTCTGCCTCCTCTCAGCAGTGTTCTGAAGCAAGCGTAAGAACGTGGCATAACTCTGCTGTCGCTTTACTGCTGAGCTTCGCATCTCTGTCGCAGCTGATAATGAATTGTCGTTATTACCGCATACCTCGACAGCGTCTAAATATGATCGCCAAACTGAAAGATTTTATGAACAGTGGTCAATCTACTACTTTATTCATTTCCTAAAATCAAGCCTATTGTTACAGCAGACAGTAAGCACCTGCTTTTGCGCAGTTTGAAGCAAGAAGATAATAATGAGTACAGAAAAAAAGAATGTCATGGAATTAAAGAAAAACTGACTGTACAAAAAGTATTGAAAGCCACACGATATCTGCCCTTTGGGTCTAGACGTGCGAACCGCTACGAATGAGAAAAATGGCTTCCGCAGACAACCCATCTTTGTGCTTTGAAAAAGAACCGCGAAATACAGGTCTAAACGTTAGTACTTAGTACTGGTCAGTCATCTGATTTAACCTGACTTCTTTCAGCTCATTGCTATTGTTCAGCATGAAAACAGTTGTTCTAATGAAGAAGCGAGAGACGGCTGAACTGCGTCAGTTTTGGCCCTGTTAGACAAATTCGTCAAGCGTACACCATTTACTCCAGCCCGTGAGCTTCTCATGTGGGAGCCTACGCATGGTAGAAGTCAGCCGGGAAACCAACATGCAACTTAGACAAACAAGGTGGAGACAGATCTAGGAAATCAGAGCGACTGTATCTTTAAGACGCATTAATCGGTGCCTTATAGCGAAAGTGTTGTAAGGCTGTGAATACAACGAACATCACAAAGAGATGTTCTCTTATGCAAACGTCTCAAGGAAATAATGTAACGAAACACACAAAACGACTGATCTAATCGTTTGCTTTGGGTATAAACAAGCCATATTTTGTGCTGCTTACAGTATGAAATCCAACGCACGAACTAAATACTCAATACTAGACAGCAAATTATATCGAACGACAGGAACATCACAACGTAGGATGATTTGTCTCTACAGAAAACGAAGCATTTAACTGTTTTGATAATTTTCGTTTCAGCCATTCGATACTAAGAGCACGTTCGCATGACCGATTGGCCATAAAGAGGAAACTGAAGATGCGCAAACACTAATTATGTGAGGATGTTTCACTTCACAGTAAATCTAGAAGCAGCAAATTTGTAAGAATGGTTAGTTAAATTTAAGTTTAAGTTACAATACAGTCACGTGCTTAGAAATTGAGTACATTAGTACCCATTCGCTAAATTACCTAGCAAATACGGTGAGCTGAATCTCAGAGAAAATACAAACAAAACCTTGCAATAAATTATGCAGTAGAGGAAAAAAGGCCTAAGTAGGCGAGAAGGAAGGATAAGTTAAAGACGCAGAGACAAAACGCTGTGACTTTCGGTAATCAGTTCGTTATACAAACTAACCTGAATCTATGTAAAAGTTACTTTCCGCAAGTCATTAAGTAACCATATTTTATGTAAGTCAGATTTAACCCACCCCCACCAGCTAATCACACCGTATTTGCTGACGCATTTAGAATACGCGTATACAGTAGTACATTAACATGTTTTAAGGGCTATTTCTGACAGTTTCTTTCACAAAATGCATAGAGAAATTAAATTAAAATATCCAACTATTAATGCAAAACAACATGCATAAATGGTATGAGAAAATGGAAAAATAAAATGTTTAATTCGGCGCTTCGACTTTCTTTATCAAGAAATGACTGAACGGTGGCTCCTTTCATCTTTTCAAAAATCACTGGAAAATAGACAAAAGGTAATCAAATCCTCTGTGGGCTTTCCATGACCGTGAAGAATAAGGATCGATCTTCTCCAAACGTGCCATTCTTTCTGAAATCGTACGAAACGCGACTCACTTCTCTTTCGTTATTACACGTTTCCTCTTCTGATTCCGAAGCCGCAGCATTTCTGCTTCTAATTCAACAATTTATTTATTCTCCTGTGAATCTGTCAATTCCTCGATATTATGTTCATAAAATTCTAATGTTAGTCGCTCAGCAAACATCACTATTTAATTACACAGTGTAGGCAAGACCGCTCTTAGGTGGGATGTAAATAACCTAACTTTCGCGTATTAAGTAAAACTTCTATAGCTCATCATGTTTGCCATAGCCCTTTCAAGATAATTTACTAATCAGACTCTACAGACTCTATGCATACAAGAAAAATGAAGAAAAAAAGTTGGAAGAGAAAACAAGAACAAAATGTGTGTAAATGAAGAAATTTGAAAATCTAAATAAGGAGAACCAGGATAATCAGAACAAGGATAAAAAAGAACCAAAAACAGAACAAGGATAAAAAGAACTATAGGTGTAAAACTGAAGAGAGAAATAAGAAAAAAGAATAACAGACACTATAGAAATGAAGAATGAGAAAACAAGAATAAAGTTAAAATTGGAAAGGACACTGAGGAAACTAGATATGAAAAAACTGTTACATTTATCAAGAGGACCAAAAACAGATAGCAAAAATTAAACAAGAAAGAAGTAGAACTGTAAAAATGAAAAAATAGGATAAATACAAAATGAAGAGAAGAAAAAGAATACAAAAAGATAAAAGGAAGAACAAGTAAAAATGAGGTAGAAGAGGGAGAAATGCAAAACGAGCGAAGAAAAAACAAGAACTTTGAAACTAAGTAGAGAAAGGCAAAGGAGTACAGCAAGAGCAAAATGAAGAAGAGCAAGCGTACAGACGAATGATAAGAACAAAATGAGTCAGGGTGAATTTTGCACGAATGAACGAACGAAACTTAAGTAAAAACGAAGAACGAAGACGGCGATGGATCAGAAAACGAGAATAATTAAAATGAGAAAAATTGCAGAAATGAAGGAAAAAACAAATATAATACGACCAGAAAAATTCCAAGAAGAGAAAGTACAAGCTGAAAAAGAGTAATACAGAAATAAAATAAGGAAGCGAATAATGAAATAGTTGAAGCAGAAAACGAACAGAAGAACGAAAACAAGACAAGAAAAACAGGGACAGACGGAGTAGAAAAACAAAAGGTAAAAAAACGAAGTGTAAAAATAAAAGCAAAGATAATGTGGAAATGGAGGAAAAGAGAAACAAAATGTGTCAAAATAAAATGCCAAAAAACGAAATAAATATAGTAATATAATAATAGCAATAATAGCAGTATACTAAGTAAGTAATACAGCTGCTAGTGAAAAAAGTAAATGCAAAGTAATAAATAAAAGTCAAAAAATATGTACTCATTTTTAGCTCGCTTGAATGATTACATGATAAAAAGTTCATATAAAATACATATGCGCTACCTGGAATATAATAAACGATTCAAAAGAGGTTATATCTGTTAAAAACACTGTCATCAGAAAAGCTTACCGTTATTCGTAGTGCTGTGTAAGTCGAAACCGTGGTCAAGACCTGCCAGTTCATTGCTCGTGAGGTCAATCCTTGGAGCACTTAAGGAACGGAACAGCTTGCTATGGTGAAATACACGATGAGGTTGGCATATTGGGCCACAAGCCGACCTGGCCGCTGTCGAACTGAAAGCGCCACAAAGTCCAGAAGGAAAGTGATTAGCGATCGTTTACCTTACATCAACGCTGTGGGCAAACAGCAGCAGTCCATTGTCAATAGCGCTGCGGCATCTCAAACTGCGGTAAAGCTGCTGTTTTCGCCGTAATGACGCGACTTCAGCCTCGGAGAGGCTCGAGAAGTCATCAAACACTGAAAAAATTTACTGCATCAACTAACAAGGCGAGGTCAAATTCAAACGTATGCAAATCATACTAGAAGCCTACGGGCATGCATCATATTGGAAACTTTAAGTCAAGCATGGCCTTTCTCTTCAGAAATTCGCAGTGGTTCAGAATCAGCGTCTGAAGCAAGTTTTCTTCTAGATGAATACAATTACGATAGGCACAAAATATGACATTTTCCGTCAGTTGCTAATACCGGTTAACAGGAGACCTTGAGAAGGTCTGCATCATCTGACCGTTGACAATAACTACAAATATAAAATCAATTGCAGCA